CAGAAACATCGATAATTAGACAGCGATATCAGTCAATCATTTGCAACACAGAAACTGGCACATTTTTTCTCATCGATTTAAAATACCAAAGCATATCAGCCCAGCTAGTAGTCTAAACAGTAATAATATTTGTGCTAGTAGGAAGGATGAGATATAGAAGATATGGTTCGAGGAAAAAAAATTGAAATCGTGAAATAATAAAAATGTATAAAAAGTGTTTTAGACATTTAAAATTTAAGTAAAGATAAAGACTAAATCTCTTGCGTCGTACACCCCTATAATGTGGTGACCAGTTTTATTTACACATACTTTCAATTAATCTCAAATTATAGCGTTGATATCCATTACTCTGTGTTAAAAAGAGAGTTTCTTTAAAATTATTATGATTGTTAACTAATTGCATGGTAGAACACTGCATCTTACTAGAATGAACCACTTCATAATCGTTTTACTGAGTGTGTTTTCCTCATGGAGTTTTGTTCCTCAACTCGAATGAGTTCATCATTCCAATGATAGTTACATATATACTATTTTTTTCGCATACATTTTAGGCTACATCAGCATTGGATACAACAACAGAACGCAATATTCAAGCTAGTTTAAATCGTATTGCACAAAATCGTACCACTTTAATTGTTGCACATCGTTTATCAACAATAGTTAATGCAAATGAAATTTTAGTTCTACATGAAGGTGAAATTGTTGAACGTGGTACACATTCGGAATTATTATTAAATCCCAAAAGTCGTTATGCTCAATTATGGCGTCAACAAAGTGAAGTACAACAACAATCATCAACATTCGCCTCTACATCATCTTCGTTATTGTTACCAATTATTAATGAAAACACAGAAAATGTGTCCAATCCAATAAATAGAACAAATCAACTTGTTGATGTGTAATATTTTCAATTTATTATTTATATAGGAAGTTAAATCAAATTCTAATATATCTTCATAAAATACTTTGACATTATAAAAATTAGTCATTATTGTGTACGTATATATATAAAAATTAGATAAGCTTTCACTGTTACAGTAACCAGAGAAGAAACATAGTAGTGGTAGTATGTCATCTTTGATATCGTTTACGTCCATTTGTAATGTTTCATTTTTTGTTATTTAGAAAAGCTTTATCTAACTCATCATATATAAATTGTAAGTGCATACACTCATACAACTAGTTACACTGTAATTTCAGTAGATATTTTAACAATTACCTATATATATAAAGTATATATTTTGTCAAAGTTCCTATGTTTATTGATTGTTCAGTAGTAGTGAATATATATTTCATGACATCTGTAAATGGGAATTTTTTTCCACTTTTTATCTATACACTAAGCATACTGTCTGCCTTATTATATATATAGTCGTAATGATAGTCAATAAATTTAGTACTGTTTAGACGGCTAGTCGATATATATATAAGAATAAATTTTAAAAGCATAAATGAAATAAATAGGCATAGGATCTCAATTAAATCGTTGAAGTGAACATACTAATACTGTGACTATAATCGTCATTATGTACAAATTTTACAATTAATTATACATATAAATAAAACCGTTAGAATATTCATGGGTTAGTATAAATCATTACAGTGATATGTTTTGTCATAATTTTCAGTAGTATTAAATGTAAACATTCATTTTATAAGTTTCAGGAAATTTAGAAAAACATTTAAGTAATAAACGCTAAAGGTGTAATGAATTTACATCCAATACATTTCTTTAGTTCACTGTCTTTAAATAAGTCCCATTGAAGATTTATGAGTGACTGATACTTCTTAGTTTCTCACAACTGTTAAAACATAGTTAATTCTTATTGGAATCTATAAACAAATTCACTTTAGTATTGATATTTTCTGTGACATGAGAATTCAGTGCTCAAAGAACAACTGTCCAAGGCCGATCACACGAGTAATTAATTGCTTTTTGTCGTATTAACTCTAGACTATTCAAGCCTTACCCCCAGGAACAAAGTGATCACACTAATACAGACATAACTCATCTTTATCTGCATCTGAATATTAAATTTTAATATCGTTCCATACGTTTTAGCTTGACATTTCATTTGGTCTTCTCAAAATAAATTACTAAAGTTTAATTTATGCTTTAATGACACCAATATTTTCGTCTCACATATTTTTCACCTTGTTAAGTCTTTCTCGCTGTGCATACCATTTTGAATCGATACAAATCTTTCCTTGCTTGTACATTGTTTCTCATTGGTTACCTTTAAACACAATACATTACTTCTAATGTTTACCAACTTATCATTAAAACTGCATTCTTTTTTTACTGTCTACAATTGATACTGATTAGGAGTCGATACTATTAATTAATCAATGACTTAGTCATGAAAGTCAACGAGTGTATTCATGTTCAATTGAATTTCTGCTAACAATTGAACAAGCTGAGGCGTTAAGTCGCAGTACAAAAGAACTTTGTAAATATTGGAAGGATTTTGACCAGGTTTTTTGCGATGCACTGGATTCAACTTCCGAATGGAATGATGCCGTCCAGCTCTAGGTTTTATGAGGAATAAGATATTTACTAGAAAGTAAAAAAAACAACTCGTTTGAAATTACTTGTCATGTTATTGTTACCTTAACGAAAGTAAGGACTGTTTTATTATTTCCAACGTTTGTTTTCCTCAAATCAGTCTTCGTTAGTTAATCAGAGCAAAAACCAGTCTTTCTAATCCTTATTGGATTCTGTCTATCAAGTTGCAGTTTGACGACTAGTCTAAGTAACTCCACTTTGCGTGCAGTTTTTTTATGTTAGGTGGTTAGAGGAAGTCAGCAAATAACTCTCAACTGTGGTCTTACGTTAGTCGGTACTCGTCAACAAGGTGGTCTGAATAACTCAGTGGTTACGTTTCAAATGATGTGGCATGACGGCATTGAAGCATTGGCGATGTCAACATCATTTTTTGTTATTGACTGTTGATTGTAGATTTAAGACTTTTTTGAATGCTATGAAATCTTAACAGGGAGCTTTATTGATATCGGCCAAATATATTACACTATTGGATCGCTCGTTTTCTAAATTAAATTATTGTTTGGTCCGAAATTTAAATAATATAAACACTAGAACTGTTTATATTTTTCATGTTTCTTAACCCATCAAAGCAAATTACTCCTTTCGTCACGACAACAATAACATGATAAGTAATTTCAAACGAGTTTTTTATTTTTTAGTAAATATTTTATTCTTCATAAAACCTAGAGCTGGACGGCATCATTCCATTTGGAACAACAACACCAACCTTATATTTGGCAATTTAATAAATTAATATTAATACATTTCAAAATCAATACCACTTGGAGTCATGAAGCCCATACCAAGACTTGACCTGTCTTTTCCTGTAGATGATTCCAGTCAACAAAATCCATATACAACCAACCCATACTCCAGTAGAGTATTTATATCCCTAAAAAATTATTTGAGCCCTTTGTTATACTATTTTTTTCAAAAAGCTAATACCTCAATCATAAACGTACCATTAACTCCCACAATCAAGATCCCGTTTTATATAGAATGTCAAGTCTCGAACCTTCAGACAGTCATTTTATAAACTGCTTGCAGCTGATGATTGATTACACTTTTTAAATTTCTGTAAAGGCTTAGATTTCGCCAGTATGATATTCAGTGACTGGTTAGAGCTAGTCAATCCCTAAGTACTTTTAAATAAACCTTTTTATGTCCACCCAACTGCATAACTAAAGATCATATTACTTACGCCTATTACCCCTCGTAAAGAAGCATAGGCCTTCCACCAATATTCTCCATCGAACTCTATCCTGGGGAATCCTTTCCAGTTGCTACTCATCCTTTTCGTGTATACCCTTTGATGCAGTTTGATGATTTTCTCAATGTATGTCCCATCCACCTCCGGCGTCTTTTTCTCCTAATTGTCTCTTCAGATGGAGGTTGGTTTGTTCTCTGCCATAGTAGGTTGTTGCTGATGGTATCCGACCAACGGTCATTGAGTATCTTACGTAGACAATTGTTAATAAATACCTGTACTTTTTTATGGTTGTAGTAGTTCTCCAGGTTTCAGTTCAGTACAGAACTGTCTTAACATTCGTACTGAAGATTCTGGCTTTGATGCTGGCTGACAGTTGTTCGAGTTTCATATGTTCTTCAGTTGTAGAAATGTTGTCCTTGCTTACTCATCTGCATCGGATTATCCTTATTCGTCGATGATGGATCGACAAAAGTTTGAGAGACTTAACTTACCAATTTAAAAATGTTTAGTCCTATATTATTGAGAGGCAATCTGTAAAGCTGAAGTACGTGACCTTTAACGAAAATTTCTGTTCAGTACTTTTACCACTAGCAGTCTAGAAGTTTTTCTGTCTGTTTTAACTGATATCATGGGATATACTAACAACGAGCAGAAAATACAGATAAAGTTTTACATCGACTCAAATTAAGCAATATTTTATCCAGACCGAATTTCATTCACACCATAGATGCATTATCGGTGTCTTTGTATTCCGCCACAAGCTTGAATATCGTAATGCCTACTATGGGTACGGAATTTCTTTTCATCTTGACATTGAAAGGCCTATTAATACACTGAGAGCGTTTTTAAGATGCATTCTATGCAGCGTACATACATAACATTTGCCAATCATCCCAAATTAAGTTAATTTGGGTACTGTTGTCCAGCTTATCTCGATATCAATCTAACTCTGTCACGAACAGTATTCTGGAGAGAATTGTGGAGAAATTGCATGCTGGTGATGTAGATCTGTCATCTTAAACAGGAAACTGTCCATGTACTTCCTTTAGGTGACGTACAGTTGGAAAGATGTAAAAGTTCGCGTGCCAGTATAACTGACAAAAGCGATTCTTTATACATTGAGCTTAGTGGTGTTCTAATTTAAGCCATATTTGATGCCCCTGTGATGTTAATCTGGTTTTTAAAAGGTAGTTTACAGTGCCTTGGTGTCAATAAACATAGTTTACCCCTACAAAACCTGATTCTAAGCTGAAGATACTCGATGTCTGTTTATTTGGTAATCGTCGAATTCGTAGCGCTAATTATGTTTGGTGGTGACCCCAACTGCTTGAAGTAGTTCGAATAGATTATTTGAGTGCTTACATACTACCAAAGCAAGTAGTAATCCACACATCATGTAAAAGAAAACATAACATGAAATAATAATGTTTATATCCAGAACAAGGTGCTCTGTGTGAACTAGTGATCGTAATCATAATTATTTAGAGAAAAAGAAAAAGCAAAAACAGTCAAAACTTGGAAAGGGACAAACAAATATGATTAATAGTAATAACATAAATAATGCCGCTGGATTGATAAAAAGTGTATAAGTATGAGTGTGTATGTGTTGATTAGTGGTATTCAAAAGTAAGAAATAAAATAATGATGGCGCTAAAAGTGGTGTGCAGAGTAGTAAAAAGTAAGAATAAGCTTAGTAAAAGTTTTAAAATGTGTTTCAATATTATGTATAATGTAGGCTACTCAATATTTTTTAAAAACGACAATCGAAATAACGGTAGATCACTCAACAGCGAGTTAGTTACAATAAAAAAAGTAAAAACAAATTAAGACAAACAACACATTGTCATACATTGATGAGCTATTCAACTTTGCTTCAAGAATAACGAAAGGTATAACAAAAGTACCTACTTACCTAAACTGAATCATATCATGTTGCTTTTTTCTTGTTCAGTTCTTTAATCAGTGTTTATTTAGGTGTAGAAAATTTGATCTATATTTCAATATGCGATAAGAAAGTCAACAATCCCACCAATCACATAACATATTATTTATCCAACTATAACAACTGTAAATTAAAAAGGCAACTGGAATTCATATTCCGTATAAAACAAAATTTCAAAATAAAACATTCCATCGAAAATCGAAAAGCTTAACATACAATTGCTTGGAGAAAAAACAAATGGACATTTTATTTTTTCCCTTTGTATTCATACTCATGAATAGATGGGTGGGTAGATGCGCTTGTGTGTAACAATGGATCAGAAAGAAGAAAACCAACTGCTGTACGTTTATTGCAGCAAGAAAAGGAAATGGCTTTCAGGTTGAAAGCCTAGAGGCACCAGTATTTTTAAAAAAGACTAAAAATTAAGTCTAACTTTCGTCTCCAAAAAAAGAAAGATTCACATTACGGCAGGGCCTCCAAACCAATCAGGGTCGGTTTCTTCTAAAGCCATTAAATCGGGACTAAGATAACCAGCACTAACATTTCGTGAAGGTATTGCAGGTGAAGAAATCGAAGCAGCGTGTGTTTGTTGATCTAAAAGTGATGGTCTTAAGATACCTTGGTTATCTTCGTGAAACGGCTTGTATTCTGAAGGTGAAGGATTTAAAAACATATCACCACCCGGACTTAAATAACCACTTGAACTTATACTCCCGACACATGACCTGCGTGGCACCACACTCATTCCAGTGGGCAAAACGGGATTAGATCCCTGTAACTGGTGAGTATTGTCAATATTCTGAACAGATGAAGACACAAGTGTTGGCCCCACAGAATATATATTTCCACAAGCCACAAATCCAGTACGACTTGGTGAGCGTATGTTGTGGTATAATTTTACTGGTTGCAGTTCAGAGTACGTTCCAGATGATTGATTATTATTGCCATTATAAATACAATTTGGATCGGAGCAAGTCCCAGGAGGATCACAATCACCCCAGTAAGAGCAACAATCATTGCACACAGAACCTAAATTGACAAGGGGATAAAAAAACTAACAATTATGACAGCATAACTACACAATTACTTTAAAAACAAATGACCTCCTTCCAAATTTTCATCAACTTTGAGTGATTTCCGTACAAACCATCTCAGAATATATACTCTATACGGTCAGAAATCCCATCTCATTTTCGTATGGAAATCATATATTAAAACGGTTCACATGCTAGCTCACTTTTTACAAAAGTAATTTCAATCGAAGTAACAGTGATTCCGATTTCGGAACATGTATGTCATTTAGAGCAATCATTAAAAAATTTAACTCAATTTCTAAAAGTACTGACATAATTATTATTAATACGTTTCCTAATTTTAAATAGGCACAAAAACAGCTTGTTTTTTGTTGACTTTCTATCAATGAACCAAATAAGTCATTATTCTTAAATACAGACCCTCATCTCTCAGATAGGATTAATGGAAAACTAGTTACTATAATTGAGAACTAAGGAGATAAGCCTGTAGTGGCAGACAGAAACAGTGTAGACTATAACATTATTAAGACTGTTATGTTTCCATGCAGGGGAAATCAACAATGAAAACATTTATGGTTTAGCACTGGTTTGAAAATAAGTAACGTTTACAAACGTTTATAAAACGTTAATTAGCCTGCTAAAACTTTTATAACCAAGCCTACAAGAGATGCAACAGGTAGGCACAAACAATATATTACGTGGTGCAAAAGTGTATCAAAGTCGCCATACGTTATATTAGTACAATGAGATCCGTCAGGAAATGAAAAATCAAATTAATACCAACCATAACTAAGTTTCAGCGCTAAGTAAAGACAGCAGTTATGATCGAGTACATAAAATGATAACTAAACAAACTACTTACCCTTGCAACCAGGTGGAAATGGTCCAAGCATCTCCATCAACGAGTTGGAAGGACTACCACATGTGTTTCCAGATTCTTGAGGATGAGTCTGTAAGGGACCATGGTTCCAACTCCCATGATGAGTTAATGAAGGCATTTCAGGATGCAAAGTGCCCCCCGGATGAACAGTAGGCACATGATAAACTTCTCCTGTATCCATTGGTAAAGGTGGGGTATTTAGCGATTCTATATGAGATGAAAAAATGTACGGGTTGCTGCCTATACCCCTACGTTCTTCAGCTAGTCGGATGACTACTGCAGATGCATAAGTTGAGATAGCTTCATTCCTAGAGCGAACCAGTTCATCGAACCTTGAGCCTGCTCCAGGTAAGGTAGCTAAAGCCTCAAGGCCATCACGATCCTGTGAAACCTCTGCGAGGACGCCTGCTGAGGCACGCTGAATGGACTCATGAGGCGAATGGAGAAGTTCGACGAATATCGCAAGACCAGAAGAGCCAGATTGAATACTTGGAGTTATACTTAAAGCTGGAGCCTGTACAACAAGAATGAATAATTATTGAAATATTTTTAAGAGTTAAAGATGACTGAGTGAATGAAAGAGAAAAACAAATGACAAAGCTATACAAAAAGAATTGGTAGCCGATGATCATAAACAAACTAAAGGAAAAGTAAACAGTAAAAAGCAGAAAATGTGAACAACTACTTTAAATAAAATGAACAATGATGAACAGCATACAGTGCGAAGTAAAAACAAGACACTGTATATTGACTAGGAAAACTTACTACACTACATTTAAACGCCCCAGTTTGGACGTTTTTACATTTAACTTCAAAGTGACTTCGAAGTGTTACCGTGGAAGCTCGAGGTAAGCTACATTTTTTAAGGAGTTTAATACATCTAGATGAACTACTAATAACGCATTTTACAAAACTTATAAATGTTTGTATTAACGTAGTGACCACGACAAAGGACAGTGCATTTGTGCTATGAACTGAAGATATTACTAGATTTACAGGACCGAAGGAAGATAGGATTCATTTAGTCCATGACTTAAAGGTCGGAAAGCCAACACCTAGATTATTGACGCATATGTCCAGGTCATTCGTTGAGTAAAAACTTAATACGATATTGTACCAATGACTACAGTTTCCATGAAACGTTTTTCTTGAAAAAATGTAAGCACGATAGCTCATTTGCAAGTTATTTTGAGTTATTATAAATTCATTTAAATTTTATTAACTTCAACATAAACTATCGTTCAATTACAATATCTGGATGCTGTTATAAACCAACCTTTAGAAGAGCTAGATAAGACCGAGTAGCATGATCTTTCGCTAGCATATGAAGTGCACCACAAATCCCTTCCACAATCTCCTCGAGTCTAACACTTTGCACTACCGTTGAGAATGTTGGATGAGTGGCAGAAACAGAACGCTAAAATATGAATGAAAATTTTTAATAACTTTAATTTGTAATAAGCAAAATTATAATAAGTTTGGCAACTCAATGATGAAAATGTTATTGATTCAAATGAAATATAAAATAAATTGGTTATAAATTTCCGAATTCATAGACACTAGCATAGACCACTAGAATTAGTGTTATGCGAACAAGCTTACACTGCAAAGGATAAACACACAAGATACCATTGGAAAATAACTCCATTCATATTACATGCCTTCCACTGTTCAGCTCTCCTAACATACGAAACAGCGGAGCAGTAGCACAAACAAATTTGAGTTCAAATTCTCTTCCGATTTCCTACATTGAGAAAACGGGTGACATCACTGGTAGTACATATGACTCACAATTCAGGTGCACCACACAACTTGATACATGAAACCAGGAAGATTCGAAGATTTGTGGTAAAACAACATCAACAGACGTTTGCTACAAGTATATTAAATATCAACAAATATCAGTAGATCAAAGTTTTCAACTGAGTCAAGTGGACAAAGCAAACTACCTGGTCGGGGTCCGCACGGAAACCGTGATCGGTGACTGCAAATTTGAGTGACATCACTCAGTATCGGTTGCGACGGCGCAGATGCATTCAGTCTTTATTCATCTTTCTCTCGATCTAGAATTCCAGTACAGCTTTATGCATACTTTTCAACTGTCTTTTCGAAACATATACTCAATATTCAGTTCGTCCCACTACCACTACTGCCAAATTATTCCTCTCTTTTGCTATTCATCTCGTCGTACTAATGTAGTATGGTAATTTGAGACAACTCCCATCTGTTCCAGGCTCTACATTTACGACGACTAACCGACTGAATTATAGAAGGGGATTTTGATGTCCAAGTAGGTAGTCTAAACAAAAATAAAACTGTTGAAGATATTTTATCCCCGAGTAAAACGTATAAGCAGAGAAATTATGATTTCCTATGTCGATTAAAGTGATTTTCATTCAGTGAACTTTCAAAACATTTTCCGTCATATTAAATTATTCAGAGTTAACTATATTCGTTGACTCCCAGTGTAATTTCAGTTGTAATTGTTTATTGGATTGTCTATCTATTTCCATTTGCATTGATTGTGTCAGTGTGATTTTGTGTCATTAGCAATAATTGGGTTGATAAGGAATTTCAATCATTGAATTGATATATAACTGGACTAACATGAGTGCGATTTCAATTAATTATGTGGTATAGATCAACAAAGCTTCAGTATAAACTGGACTGTTCCTCTAATTAGTGGGCAGGGAAGAAGAGGACAGCAGAAGTCTTCTCCACGCACTAAAGTTGGGGTTATAAAGTAAGTAGCTAGTGTATGAACGTATCATAAAAACTTAGACCAATCTAGAGACGTTTGAGTACAGAGAAGAAATAACAATGACCATTTTGCTGCGACTATGTTCAGATAACCATCTATTTCTAGAAAATACCAAAATTAGTCTCACGTGACAAATATCAAAATCGACGGACGCAAATAGGCCATATCACCACCAACCATCGTTAGAGAGGCCCGATACACGGCTGCTGCTCGTTTTTAGAGCACATCATTAGACTCTGATCATACTCTAGTGAGAACACGTATCTGCCTGTCTTACGGTAATATATATCGGTGACTTAAATAAAAAAGCTAGCAAATACAATTAAGTTTCGGTGTCATTTACTGAAACAGACAAATACCCCGGGACTCATCCCAGCAACGAACACGATGAAAAGAGATGGCTTAGACTGACAAAAAGTCTACGCAATCACTATCAGTATTAGTGGGAGGCGAAATCAAGGGACAGAAAAGGCCGTGGCGACAGGTAATAATAAACATTTCAGAATTATCAAAAAGGAAAGTAGTACAATTAGATTACCGAAATTATGACCCACTCTAAGCACAAACCGTAAGAGTGGGGGGTGAAACACTTTTAATTACAATTTAACAGATTCGCAGTTACCCTCCAGTTGCCTACCGATAAAAAACAGCCTGGATGGGATATTAACATTAGTCTCTCGACTATCAATGTATTTGAAACAACCATAGCTAATCTAAAGCTAAGGATAACGATGAACCCCGATAGGCTAATCCTGGAGATTTCTTTGGATGGTGGTCCAGTCTTAGATGTTAGATTGCCTAGGACATAAGCTGCAGTTTCGGAACTGGACGTTATCCTAATTGGTTGGTCTCGAGGGCTGTTCAAGTTTTTGGAAGATTAAAATATTCTTGCGACAGCCACAGGATAAGCTTGGCTAATATGGTGCACAAAATAATGTTTTCAGTGATTATCAAAACTTCAGAAAAGCCTGTGAACAGCGAATCTGAGAGAAACGAACCTAGTACCAGACCTGGAAGTGGGAGTACCGGTCAAATACTAATCCTTTCAGGTTCTCGAGCATGGACGTGCCTACCGACACTGAACTTTTGACTTTAATGTGGTATTCATCCGCAATACTTGACAGGTTTAACAGCAGCATTTATGGTTGAAGGTATACACCAAAGTACATAAAACTTGTAAACGTTCTTTATTCGAAGACAACTAGTTGAATCAGAGCTTATGGCCAAATGTCATCAAAAATAATGATACCAAGTGATGTTCGTTAGGGTTTCCAGATTTCCCTAATTTTACTATCATACATGCTTCTTTAGGGATAACGCTTCTGTCATCTGACTTTCCAAGGATTTATCACCTACCAGAAAGTCTACTTATTGACTTGAAATATGGAGGTGTTCGATGAAAACACTGACGAGATCTAGTATTCTGATCACCTGAAGCAACAATGTAACAGTGTTTTAGATCCATTTCTCTCTCTCTCTCTCCAGATCAAAAATATTGTTTGGGAACTGGTCCGCAGTAACAATATCCAGTGAAGTAGTTGCGCACATAGACCACTTCAATCATCTTGGAAGTCTCATCAGTCCTCGTGGGTTTGCATCGGAAGAAACATCGGTACGGGTCTAGAAGGCTCACTCGGATTCTGATAACTTCCATCACCTATGGATCAGGTGACATGTCTATCTGCCAATCGGATGAGTATACTGTCCAGCAATTTACTCCGTCCTAATTTACGACCGAAACATGGCTCTCAGAGACAACGGGAATTAGCGTTCGAACATACGTGTCTTCTAAACTTTGCTTGCATATGTTTTGACCACCAAGTGATCAATCCTGGTGTTAAATGTAGGGTACTGAGTAGACATGGGGTTGTGAATCTTCGTCGACTAAGCTGGTCGGAACACATGCTGCTTATGCCCAACAACTGGCTACCTTGTTACGACACGTGATGTTGGTCGATGTAGGAATAGGTTGAGAGAGTGGTAGGAGTGATCAAACTAAGACCGAATAAATCTATCGAGTCGTCAACCATTAGATGTAGCCGTCATACAATTAATTTTTTCCTGAAAGCCAAGCACGTACATTTGCACGTGACAAATGAGATACACATACAACTACTGGGGGGTGTCCACAACCATAAAAAACACCAGAACATTTATTTGTGACTTCTTGAAGTCCTCACAAAATATCTGCTCCACAGATACCATAAACTGTTAAAATAATAATTAAACCTCATATTGATCACAACCAATACTTTAAATGAACTACAAGTCCTAGCAAATTAGTCCTCTTGTTGAGATTTTATACAAGGACAAAAAGCTTTGTTGAGTGAAGTGAAATCACTTCATTTGCTCTAAATCTACAAACACCACCACAAAACTGTTTTATAAATCTGACTATGTGTGAAGCACAAATTCTTGTTGACATTTAATAAGTTGAGGATTGAGAGGACACCAAATGAAATGAATTCACCTTTCCCCATAGTTTATCGTTCTCGTTTTACAAAACCTTAGGGTCATATTTATTATACTCCCAGGATATTAATAAATAAACAGAGGCACTCACTTTAATTATTTCATATTGCGTTGCATAAAGTAGTAAAAACAAACCGGTGACAAGCCCACATTCACGCATACCATAATGACTATCTAAGGTGACAGACAGATTGCGCAAAAGGCCAACCATAGCTTTAACAAGCATCCACGATACCACCGGATTCTGAGGATGTTGACAGACTAAACCAAGATCAGGACAAATACCAGCAGTTGCTGCATGTAAAACTCGAGCGATAATCGGCAAACCGTTGAGTTCATGAACCAAGGCATGTCTTGCTGTTTCTTCCTCTTCATGACGACTTGTTAAATGCCTTAAAGCGCACATACATGGTTCTAGGATATCTTCTTTAACAGCAGGTTGACTGACCGCACGCAAAAGCGCCTCTACACCACCCATCTGCAAAATTACGTTTAAATTTATTGTGAGACCTTACCTTAAAAACGATAAATTTATTTGCGTGGTTATTGCACGTTAGATTGGAGAGGATCCCCGCTGCGCATGTAATCATACTGCTATCACCACAATCCAATAAACGGACCAATGAGTGCAACAAAGGCTGGAGATTATCCATTTTTGTCGCAGCATCGGATAAATTGCGAAGTGCCCAAAGGCAGTTTAATACTAACCGGTGACTTGAACTATGTAAGTGCTTTGCTAAAGCGTCCATTCCTCCAGCAACAATAATAGCCGGCTTGTTACTAGCACACACGCTTAACACTTTGAGAACTCGAGCCGTGGTCCAAAGTAACTTTTCATACTGATATGTTCTTAATATCCGAACCAGTTCAACGGGCCCCCCGCTGCAAAGAATTTGCAGTTTACTTTCCTGATGACCATAAGCCAGTATTTGTAGACAATCAGTACATATGGTGAGAAACTTAATGTTATTTTTCCGCAATAGAGCAGTCATCTTTTGTAAACACCCACTCTGTCTTACAACGGCTTTCGCTCCATCTTGATGAAGTAGAAGATTGTGTAACGTCGTTATTGCATAGAACAAAACTGATTCTACAGGTGAATTCAAAAGCTTAACAAGAGAGGGGATACATTGTGCGGCAAATATTGCCTAAAGATCGAGTCAGAAATACAAAGCACTTACCTTGAGCCCAGGTTGCATCTGCGAAATGTTATATAATGTACCAGCAAGAAAACGAACTGTTTCTGGATCTTCTGTTCGATCCAGAGCAGATATAATACAGTCTATCATGTCTCTCGACTTTATAAGGGCATCGATAGCTTCCGACTTGCTCAATTGGAAAACCATCATTGATGACTGGTAAATAATAACCTGGTCATCTTCATCTTTGATCAGTTTGACAAGTTCTGGTATGGCTCCTGCAGCCTCATCGGTATCAATTTCTGGTAGCTTGTTTCCTCGTAGATCAACGTTACTTGCAGAGTGGGAGCCACCAACATCACTTAAGGAGTCAACGCCTAGAATGCTACTTGTACTAGGTGTAGCTGGAGACAAAAGACAAGAGTCCGACGGGTTAACAGAAAGTGGAAAAGATGACCAATGAGGTAAATGACCCGGTTTTTGAGTTAAATAACGATCGTCTGCTTCAGCGTCATCACATTCTACCTTGCTACTGATACTTGGTGTATGAGTCCCAACAGCGCTGTGAATGCCAGAATCTGAGAGATAATTAGTTTGCTGCCACATCTTGACTCGGTGACATTTATCGACCATCTGCGTAGGAACACTATCCGCATCTGCAACCTGATTCATAGTTAACCCTTGACTGCCACCTAAATTGCAGGTCTGCACATCTTGGAGTAAGCGCGTGCTAACAGAATCCATATTTATAATGCATTCATGCAACGAAAACGCCTAAAGTACGAGCTCGAAAAAGTAGACACAACATCCGAAAGATGCGCCTTTAGTTTCAGTTTCAGTTTGGGAAGGACAGTACGCTTTATGGCCTATGTTAGTCCTGGCATCTTTTGAGATAGATTCGAGACTCGTCTTCAACTTTGTTTGAGAAATTAACAGCTTCTGTCCGAATAGTTTTACTGACGTTACTTCGATAAAATATAGGGAAAAGTAGTTCAGTTAACACCAAAGTGATAAGGTGTAATGCTTAGAGGGACTTCTTCCAGTTCATACAGAATTGAGGTTATCATCAACTCTTCTATCAAAAGACTTACCAGAATATGTCATCACCGCAGCAGTTGATAGGGGTTTCTATAACTCACTTATTCGTACTGCAGGGCAAGTGAAATGTCATTAAGCCCTAGCCAGATCATCCGGCAGTTGGAACACTGAATGTCGAACAGATCATCGCTCCCTTCCAAGGCCAGGTAAAACCAACGCGCATCAGTTAGTCGTATGCCATGGACTGGCCCATGTGGCAGTGGTCTCACTTTCGTTTGTATCTACTTTAACTAATATATTTCTGTAATAACGTACTCTGCGTTGTACAGTCTTCAAAGCATCTATGGTACCTTGATACGTCGATGGGGTAGTCCGCGTAAGGTGCTGACCATGAGGTGTGACTTCGACATTAGCTAGTCTGTCACATCATTCACATCTAACTCGAGTAGGCCTCCAATCATTTCGACATAGATCATCTACGTTGGCAATCTATAGTACTAAAAGTTGATACCGATTTCCATCTATTTTGTAACGGTCAATAAATCCCCAAAAGAATACTGTTTTAAGTCTTCGACATTTATCTGTTTGCGTAACTTCTTTCTCGTATTGCAAGTTATCTCCAGCCACATTTAAGCATACGATAGACCCATTCTCTAAACCATTACTATTTATTTTCCTTGATGATAACTTTTTCGATCCCAATAAATCCTTGGTGAGAGCTTATGGGAACCCCCAGAAAATTAAATTAACCTTTAAAGTCGCCCATTTAAATGATACTCACTCAACGAATAGATTTTATAGAGGTCAATTTCTTTGCAAAAAAAACTATCTGACAAAATAGTGATCTGTAACATCATTACTGACATTATATTTGTATAGATAATAAAATCAGTAGGGAATTACTGTTCAACCTCATTAACCATATGAGTTTTGTTTTTAAAACATTTATAAAATGTCTACGAATTCATCGGTTTTTTAAGGGTTGTAGTTTACTCCTATTTATAGGAACACTTTTTTATTAATAAATAATTCTAATCTCACGAACTGCATAAATGTTCGCAAATCACATTTTCAGCCAAACATAACGAATGCCCTAATAGTACTACAGTTCGTACGTCCAAACATCATAATATGGAGATGGTTTCGAATGCACAACTAAGTGGAAGTAACGGGTCTTAAACAAAATCTAAAACTTAAATGAATCAAAATGAAAAATCACTTTAGTAAACACCCATGTTTTACTTCGTTGATATGTCAACACTATAGTAACCAAAACAAACACAACACACACCTGAACTAGTCTGTTAAATTTATGCGTTTACACAGATTCAACATTACAATCATTCCATTAATTTTATAGAAATCCAAAACAAATTTAGAATTCAATTTTGTTGATATTCATTACACGACAAATATTATTTTTCTTTTTTTTAAAAAAAAGGAAAAGAAAATTTATGTACATTGAGCAAACATATTAATTTAAATCTGGTAAAAAGTAAAACCATGATAAGTATAAATCAATAATAAGAAGGAATTCTTCCAGAGAAGAAATTCCAAATACACATTTTTTTCATAATGTTAATAATAATAAGAACAATCGCAAGAAGAAATAGTACAGAAATGAGTATACTTTAGATTATCTGTAGAGAAGAAGTAAAAGGGATAGGGCACGGAAATAATGATGAAAATGAATAATGATGGTATTATTATGAAGTCACTTGAACATACATGAACGCACGCACGCATAAACACAAATACATACGTTTACAAAGTGTAATTCCAACAAAAAGTTATCAAACAGTTTGTACCTCTTTTATCTTTCATTTATTTATAATCATCAGCTTTCAAAAAGTCATTGTTATTGAAGGTAAAGAAAATGTGTATTGGAATCAATAAAGAATAAATAATCAATATACATCGGAAAGATAGTCATCCATACAAAGGAGATAGATGTTGAGTGAAAAAATCATTCCGAACACTATATATATATATATATATATATATATATATATAATTGTTATTAAATCTCTGCACCTATATAGAAAAGACATTACATCAGTGAGAAGTAGTTAATGTAGGATTAGTAGTAGGGATAGTGATTACAAAAAAGACTCAAGTATGTATATTTATAGTATAGCATAAAAATTACAATATACTGTGGAATAACAATCATTGTTATCATTTGTAAAATTTATCTGTCACGAGGGACAAAAAGAAAAACATGTTGCAGTAAAGAAAATGGAAATTTTAACAAGACGTTTGAATGGAATAAGTGTTGTATAAATTGATCCTGTAAAAAAAACACATCGAATATCTCACCTAATTTTAATATGGGTGTTTCTTTGCATTTTCTGTTCCATGTAATAAACAATATGAAGTGAATTATTTACTGTTGCTATTATTACTGGTGTTGCGATTTGCTATTGAACACTCCAGTCTGCCAGAGTATAATTATCACAATTACCAGAAGTATGCCACCGACAACGCCAACAATAATTAATTTCATACGAAAATTTTTCCACCAAGTTTTTCGGGCCACTTTCGTAGCAGTTGTTTGGAATTGATTAGCGCTGGCTGCAAGATAATCTGTTTTACTGACCGAATTGTTTAACCGATCACCTCGTTGAAGCTCTAGTCTAGTATTCTCTTGCATTACAGCTGTTACAGTATTCACATTATAACGTAACTGGTCCAACGAATCATTTCCCTTAGAAGAGTTGGATGATTCCATCAAATCTTCCAAGGTTATATTATAAGACTGTTGTAACAATCTTTACCACCACTTTTAGCCCTTTGAAATCTTGTACCATCGCTTAGAAAATTGCGAGAAACCTCTACAACCAAGTTTCGAAATTTTTGTCGAGAAGCGATAAAGGAAAGTCCTGAAACGGTGAGGCAGTGAAGAGAGAAATCCCCTTCGCTATAGTATATATCTTGATCTGGAGGATTACATAACAGATATTTAAGTACCACGTCTTCAAAGCTACGTTTTGAGAACGACCGATGCCAAACGATATGTTTCTCGTTTGTTATAGCAAAGTAGCGTAGATCCACCGTTCAGAAAACAGACAATTGAGCCAGCATTTTAAAGGTGGTATTCGTCTCACTTTACATACTTTGTGGCACTGTTGAAAACTACTAAGTACCGTACAGCTGGTTCTCTCTAGTATAAGAAGATTTAAGCTTGCGTACCTACGACCAGTGAATAAACCCGGCACCATCAAAGCTCGTGGTTGATGACTAACCACTAAACTGCTAGTTTGGGACCAGATTGTACAAATTTACAACTTTAATCAGTTCGCAATATAGTACGACGACCAATCAGTATTACTGATTTGTGACGACCGTCTCCAGTGATATTTACCGAGTATGGTGAAATCCGATTCAGGGTTAGTTTGTGGATCAGAACTATTGAGGAGTACAATAATAAGGCAAAACAACTACCAAGTGCTTGCCAGTTTTTAACGATACCGAAAATGAGTCCAGTATATAGTGAATACCATTTTCTAATAATTACTGATGTTTCGAAATTAATATTAACACTATTCTGATTGGCGTCGAGTAATTCCAAGTTATTACAACTGTACAAAAAGTGTATCACCAACACTGGACTGCCACATGAACATTTTGGTCATACTTAATGAATTAAAAAACATGATGCGAAATGGTAAACACTAGTTAAACCCCAATTATTTTTCAAATGTATTTAAATGTTCCTTTAAAAAAACAGAGAAAATAGAGTTAGTAAAAAAATTTTGTGGTAATCAGTGCTTCCAGGTTTTCCATGGTGGTCTAACTTCAATTGACTCACGATCTCAACTATTCAAATTACTATAATATGCACAAAACCCCTTCTGATATTAATTAATATACGTAAGATGGTGTTCATTCCAACAATGAGGTCATAAGTTCAACAGATCTCTTGATCAATACCATATTGGATTGAATAGTTTTGTACAAATAATGATTGTAAATTATTGATAATCACATTAGTGCACGCGGTGTTTTCTGGGTGATGTTGATTTTTAAGAAAAAAAGTTATGAATGTTATTATAATGTGAGTATAAATGCGAAGAAACAGGTATAAAAACATCAATTCTATGGAAAATATATTATGATAACTTTCTGATATAACAGCAGAATTTAAATATTTCCTGTTTCTGTGTTATACTATTATATTACAATAATCTGAGCGGTGATCGAGATTATACTACCACCAAATTGGATACTCGGTCGATACGCAATACACAGGCTGGATCACATTATACTTGATACACAACTAATAATAGACAGTTAAAGTACAGAGAAGACAATATTTTATTCAGCACGAATACATAGTGTACACTTAATAAGTTCGGATCAGAGATAGGAAATTACAAATCAGATAGTCATTAATATGTGTCTAAGAGTTTACACTCAGTGACCACTTACATCTATTTACGCTACTATAGATCATTTAAACAAATACTTTCACAGTAGTTGGGAACCAAGCGCATGGAAAACATTGAAAAGGAACCTCAAAAATATAGTATACGCGATATGTAGTTGTAGTGGCATTGGACAATAGCCACACAATCCACAAAGCTGTGAACACGAGACTACTCAGAAAATAGATATTCAGTATTTAACTTGGGGAAATACCTAACAATGGAGAAGGCGCGGAGAATGAGTTGAAGGTACTGGAGTTGATCGAGTGGCATGGCTCGGCCATGCAGGCGTGGTCTCTGCTGAATATTACCTTATATCTTTTATTCATATTAATTATATTGTTCTTTCTGTAGCCTAAGCTTGTTCTTCATCATGTATTGGTAGTTGTTACGATACGGTGAGTTGATGTAGTCGATGGTGTGACTTCCACGTAAGATCTTATAGATTAGGCAGTTATATCATGACAAATCTACAAATTTAGGATTAGGTCTATTATTAGAGCAGTACTAATATCATAGTAGATCATAATTCTACATAGTCACTAAAGCTAGTGATCATATTGTTACTTCATCAGACATGACGATGGGCATATCCACCTACAATTTAATTTTTTTCTTTTCCAGGTCAGCTCGAGATATAAAACCGACAAAGTATATGATGGATAGAGTTATAGCGGTAAAAAAAACCGAAATCAATAACTCCGTAAGTCATAGACGTTGATGATGACCTTATTAATTTCACTGCACACGCCCATCCTGAAGGCACTTGTCCTTGCATCCGCACCAGACCACAAGTGGGTACGTCGTGCTACGCATCCCTTTCAACCAGTCGCCAGCCTAGATCAGACGCCTCCCGATATGTCAGGTTTAAGATCTGTATAGTTAGAACAGAAGGTCGAAGGCCTATATTATTCCTTTCCTCTTATGCTTATGCGAGTGTCTAGTCTTCTGAATGAATCATTTGAAGGTGTGGACGCCACTGCTTTGGGTAACATGTTCCAATGACTGATGACTCGATCTGAAGCACTGTATGTCACGGGTGGATTGTTCGTTCTTGGCTTTTCTACTCCCCTGCTATGTTCTCTGAGATGTCCCGATCTAGTGGAAAGAAGAAGAGATATGATAGGTGCAAAATGACTTCTTAGTGTTCTACAAATTAAAATCAGATCACCTCTTAATCTGCGATAGGACAGAGCAAAGAGTTCTAGCATTTCAAGCCACACTATGTATGGGAAACCCCGGAGTTCCAGAATTGCACAGTAAGCTGCCTATTGTAATTTTTCCACGATATCCGAGTTACCTCTTAAACAGGAGCTTGCAGCCTGAACGAAGTTCTCAAGCTTAGTTCTCACCATGATTGTGTACACTGTAGTGAAATTGGCAGTATCTACCTTGATTATTGTTCATCTTAATGCCTATAGGGTTCTAAACCCCTGAACTGGAGTTCTCCGGTATTGGTTCGTGGTCTTAAAATCGTAAATTACTGTCACTCTAAGATCCTTGTGAGTCCGAACCACGATCAAAAGCACTTCTCCTATGACTTACCTGTTCACCTTAGTATCACCAAAGTGCATGTTGACACATTTCGTCACGTTGATAGACATAAGCTACTCTTAGGATAAGCTTTTCACAATATTTAAGTCCGTCTGAAGTGGGCATTCATTTGGGTCTTCTGATATTTCTTGCCGGATCTTTACATCATTAGAGTTTAGTAACATTGAGGAGTCAACTATGCTTGAGAGTCCACTTACATACAGTGTAAAGAGTGAAGGACCTAGGACAGAACCTTATGGTAATTCACCAAGTACTGGTCTCCAGGTGGAACCCTTGGAATTTATCTTCACTTCCTGCCTACTACCTACCAAGAAATCCTTAAGCCATTTTAAGAGAAACCCGACAATGCCTAGATTTTCCGGCTTCAATGACGGTCTAGTTGTCAGCACGTTAACAAATGCTTTGCTAAAGTCTATGAAGACCACTTCCACTGAATTCCCATTGTCTGGAGCCTTCGTACATTGCTACCTTGCTATAAGGGTTTTTTGCAAGATAAACTTTTTGTGAAACCATGTTGTTCGCCGTTTTGCAAGTTGTTGGTTTACACGGATGTCATCATGGTCCTCTTGACTATTCCTTCCAATATTTTAGCTCGACACCGGTGAGGCTGACAGATCTATAGTTCGATGGAAGTTGTCTTGGTCCTGTTTTATGTACTGGAGTGACGATTACATCCTTTCAGTTCATAGGTAGCACACCTTGGTCAAGTGACATATTGAATATCACAGTTACTGGGGCTGCGATATATTTTACAATTTGTCTTAGGATTTTAGGGGGTAGTTCATCCGATCCTGTTGACTTTTGCGTGTCTATGGTGCCAAGAGTCTTAAGTTCGTCGTCTTGATCAAAGTTTACGATGAGCAGAAGTTTTGCTGCCTTTGTATTTGGGTTTAGTTTTTTTGGCTCCCGAGTGAAAACTGTCCGGAAATAGTTTACATAGCTTCTGCTTTTTCCTGATCACCTTCTGCCATTTCAGATCCACTTCCTTTCTTAATTAGTTTGATAATCCATTACTGCATCCTTGTTCTGTAAGAGAATAATCTCTTAGGCTGCTTAATTAGACTGGGCCAACTGAGCTTCATATTCTCACCGAGCTTCCTGAATTGCAACTAACTAACGACGTGCTAACTGCCACAACCACATTGCATACCAACTTGACATACCTCATGTTAGCACATGATAGGGAATTGACAAGAATAATGATATAGGACGAAAAACTAATAATATCTATTTTACTGAAAGCCCAAACAACAGAAGTATAAGCTAAGTGGATAAGTGAGACGGAAGCGTCATGAAAATCATGATAACAATATACCCAACCAAAAGACCATCTTTAATCCAAGGGCTCAAATCTGAAATTATACACTGTTCGGCTTGAAAGTTCATATCACCACAACGCTAGTTGGACAAGTACAAATTCGAAAGCAGTTCAGTTTAAGATTTAATAAATTACATCATTGACCACTGAAAATCAGACTTTCAGCTGATTCGTTCTTTTACGGGACTCAGTAGTGTGAATGCACTATCCACGAGGAGGTATCTTTAAGTGTTGTAACGAGAACTTAACCTTAGAACTACGAATCTGACGAAATTTGGAGGTTCTGACTTCGTGGATGTGCACTGGTAGGTGTTGTAGCGGTAAATAAATCCCCAAAATAAATAGCTCTGTAAGTCTTCTACATTGGATGCTGACCACATTAGTTTTAATGGACTCACCTAGCTGAAGACGCTCGGTCATGCACCAGATCATGAGTGGGAACGCCGCGCTCAACAACCCCTGTTATCTCTAGCCAT